CTGCCCTCTCTGCTGCCCTGCAGCCAGGCTTCCTTCTTTCCTGGCTCAGTGCCACAGCTGCCCCCAGTCCCTGCTTCTTCCTCCCCGTGCTGGTGTACAACTCACTTCCTCCTGATTGACCTCACTGCATCAATAAAACTAAATACCTTAATAAAGTGGTTATGTGTGAGTGGAGGATGCACAAGTAAGTGATGGCCATCAGTCTGGTCACCTTGTTTCCACACCTGGCTTTTATCTCCAGCCAGCTTGATGTTTCAGTCCGCACAGCATTCAGCTTCCTAGGACCTTCATGGTGGTCAGATGCCCTGGGAATAACTGCAGTTCCTCTGCAACCTGCATTTTGTGAGAGGGAGGAGAGCTGCACAGAGGTAGCACAGACAAACCACATGCATCTCTGTGGTTTGATGTGCAGAGGAACTACTGAGGTGGAAGAGTGGAACCTGCTGGGATATTGTTTGTGGAAACCTAGATCCCCCCATGACTGTGCAGTGGCATACTGAATTTCACTTTGGAAAAGTGACTTGCACTGTCTTTGGATATTTGCAGTGATATTATATTGGTGTAAGTATGAGTGGATTTTTTGCTGTCTGGATCAGGAGACAGTGCTGTAGCAGCTGAAATATAACCAAAACCCATCCAAAACACCCAGCTGGTAGATCTGCAAGGGCAGTAAAAATACTTCATCTGCTTCTTTACTGTGTGTGAGGGCATGCCAGGGACTGTGGCCGAAGTGGTGGTTTCTGCACCTGTGTCCTGTGGTGGAACCAAGCTCTGCTGGCATTTGCAGCGGCTTAAGCAGCCTTGGACCTTTGCATCTTGCTGTGAACAGGGCCAGGACACAGCAAAGGTGTGGCAAGAACAAAGGGCAGAAAAAGGCGTCAGAAGTAGATAAGGCTGAGTACAGGTAGTACATGGCTCGGTGAGGCACTCCTTGAGAGGCTGTGGGGCGTGATTTGAGTTATGCTGTGAAAACTGCTTGTCTTCGCACGACTGTGTGACACTTCTGCCCCTTTGTAGTTTAGATTAAAGAGCCTGGAAGTGATTTACACTAAAGTTGTACTGAATCTCACATGAAGTGGTGTGTACTACATTTCTATAGAAACCCTCAGTTAGAATAACAAGACTGTGCTCAGTCTGGAAAAGCCAGACAGGTTCAGTTGTCTCCCCTGACCTGAAATTTGTGAGGAAATCCTGGCTGGAGTGGTGAATCTCAGGGCATGTCAGAATGAGAGCTCCTCTCATGGCTCCTGAGAAAAGCTGCTGCAGGTTGGGTAGGTGGAGGTTGACCTGCAAGGTAGAATCAGTCACTGGGAAACCAGGTTCTCCCTGACCACTGTTGCTCTGTTAAACATTTCCACTGGTGGTGGGAAAGTCTGCATGTGAAGGATCAGGGCTAGTACAGCTTTTCTTTTCTATTTTTACTTCCCTCCTGTCAGCCCACACTCGGACAACCTGTATGTAGTCTGTGGGCTGTGGTAAAGTGATAGCTGGCTTCAGTGCCAGGAAGCTTGAACTTGATGATGGAGCATGGAGACTAGATATCAGATGCATAGAAGATAACTTTGACCCTCCACTAAGCCCCAGAGACGGATGCATCTAAGCTTCCATGCTCCTACATAATAATCTAGGACGTGTTCCTTGGCAGAAACCCCACTGAGCATTTCTCCAGCTGCCGGGTTGCCAGCTTGAGTGAGTTTTACTGCGAGGTTCACTATATTTGGCAATTTTCTTACAGCCTAAGCTCCTAGAAATGGGTCATTAGTAAAAATAAAAAAGTTGCTTCACTCCCACCCTCTTAAACTTGAAATCCTAGGTTTTATCTGAGGACCTAATAACAGGCACACTGCCTGCCTTGCATCCTTAGAAGCAAGAACCTGAGACTGGTCTTTCCAAATGCTCTGACTTGGGACACTTGGCTCACATTTAGTAGGTGATTCAGGTTAGTAATACCTTTATTTGAATACCTCCCAGGGAATTTTCTCTAAATAGATAATTTAATATAGGTTTAAAAGGCAATATTGGGGGAAAAAAATCCTACTTCTTTGGGTGTTTTTTCTTTGTTTCAGAAGACAGTTTCTTAGGTTGCCACAAAAAATACAGAATGCAGCTTGACCCCTCTGAACGAAAGAGCCAGATTTATCGGGACTAACAAGGAAGTTGTCCAAAAGAGATTCATTAATTAGGAAGCCTAATCAGAGCCAATAAGACAAATGCACAGGCCATCCACAGGCTAATATACATCTTTTGGCAGCCACCACTCCCCACAGGCTTGCCTGTCTGTTGCTGCCTACTGTATGGCTTCCACCGCAGAAATGATGTGATAACGCTAAAACCAATTTGGCACTTTCCACATGAGAGGACGAGTGTATTCCCCACCCTGGAAATGCAGCCTCCAGCTGTCTTGCCCTATGCCAGAGGTTTCTTAATACTCTGGAATTAGCTGACTAAGAGATGCAGCAAACTAACAGAGCATTTGCTATCTGTTCAGGCTGCCTAAGCTTTCCATCAAATAAACTTTGGTTTGATTCTCAGCCCTTTGGGAACGGTTGCCCACAGCTAACATTTGCTACCCCAAATAACCCCGTGGTGACCTTCGCTGCAAAGCTGCAGCCAAGAAAAACCCTGTTTAACATAACAGTGCACATCTTAGCACATCAACTTGAACCATCCTGACCTCTGAGCTGCCAGGGTCTGTACAAATTAATTTTAACAATAGACAGTGTTGAAAGGAAGGAATGTTTCAAAGGAATTAAAAAAATCTCCTTTATCCATCTCTTCTCATTTAAGAAATAGTCAGGAGGCTTACTTTAGAAAAATGAAAAGTGCTCCTTGTTGCAAAACAATGGGCTTTATAAAGGGAGGGGAACTCTTTAGTTTCTTGCATCTTAGCGTGGCAAGATGAAATTTCCCACAAGTGGGTGCTGATTCTGGAAAATCAGCCTTTAATTTCCACTGGGGAATTGCCTTTATTTCCTGGGATGCCTCAAAGATACCATTGAGGTTTGCCTTTCTTTTTCATAGCTGCTGCTAATACTTCTGTTAAGCAAATAAGTAAGTCTTCCCTTTCTGCCCACTTCACTGGTTTGTACCTTCCCTAATGCTTTCCAGGGCTTTTGTGTGAACGACCAGACTGGGAAAGGAGAAAAGCCATTCTCTGTATGGTAGTCGGAACTGAAATCAGTTAATGATTGAAGGAGCTCATCAGAAGGGAGATACATAGGAAAATGAGGTCTTCAGCCTCTGGGGCAAAACAGGCTTATCAGTTCTGCTGAAGAGGAAGCTGGGTTGGGTTAAGTCTCCAGTGTTTCCCCAGGGGTAGACTTATTCCTCTGCTCCTCCTCTGCAGCAGCTTGGACTCCAGCAGTCTGTAAGTAGGAAGGATTATTACAGCGGGGGGGTGAAGTTGGAGACAATAAGAAATGCTAATGATAATTTGAAAACTTGTGTAGAGTTGCTTTTTAACAGTTTAAAAGCTGTATGTTGAGCATAGATAAGAGATGGAAGCTTATTGCTGAAGCGTCCAGTGCACTTCAGTATTTGCACCCATGAAAACACCTGTTTTTATTTATTTAGCCAGTGTAATTCGTTGCAATCATCATTTCTGGTTTCCTACACAAATGCTTTTCTCTTTGCAATTGAGATGTGCTGCTGAAGGCAGCACAGGGCAGGAATCCAAGGGCATCCCCAGGTAGTGCTGAGGAGGATACCCCCTTGAGCAGCAGAGGGGTCTGCTGCCAGCAGGAGGATGGTGGGGGGAGCATGTGAAAGGGCTGCCCACTCCTCCCAAACATTTTCAAAGCCAGGGACTGTGAGATGTGAGAAGCTTCAAGGGCTGAGGGGGAGAGAACTGGATGTTTAGTGTAGAGGGAGAGAAGATAAATTGATATTTCTCTGAGGTTCATGCAGCTTTCGACACACAGCCTTCAAGATCCTGTGAGGTTACAGAGGTCCTCTTGCAACTAATACAGTAATGACCTTGAATTTGCTTCCAGCTCAGCTGTACTGCTGGAGGACAAGGCATTTCTTGTGAGCAAAAAACATGAAAGCAGCACAGAGGTTTGCCTGCAAAGCTCCAGTCTTCAGGAGATTTGGGTATCCTTTCTGAGGCCCCACTTGCAACAAGGAATTGCAGATAAGCAGTAGTTAATGTGTAAAGTTTTTGGATTTATTCTCACTGGTGCCTCTCCTTTTGCTTGTCATGTTGACAAATATACTGTTGGATACTGTTTGTTTTTTTTTATGTGGGTTTTTTTTGCTGCACAAAGAAGCAAATCATATGCATGCTAATATGTGCATGCTGACCAAGATGAGTGTGCTTTCATGACATAATTTGTGGAGGGGGGTGGGGGGGTGGCAGATTTTTGTGTGCTATAATTAAAAAAATTATTAATAATGCATTTCAGTGCTTTTTCAGATTTTAGACTGAATACGGAGTCTTGACTTCTTATACTGTGGCAGTCTGCTGTGCCAAACACATATGATCACAGACAATTAGAAATTTATAGTCTCATGCCTGAATTAAGGCTAAACCTTTCTATTTCTTAGCAACTTCTGGTTATAAGATACAACAAAACTTGACTGAGGGTGGGGGGGGAAGTGATCAAATTGTAAGATTTATAGATTAAATTGTGTCTGGACTTGCTACGTGACTCAGTGCAAAATATGAGTGACCTCTTCCTTTATGACTTTGACTTCCTGCAAGCTTATCTGTTAAAAAGATCCTGTGAGATGCTTCCATTGCAGATCTTGTAAGAAGTGTATATTCAGCAGAGAAACATCTGACTGAGCAAAGACTAACTTACACAGTGGTTTGGAAGCCACATGTTGAAAGTGCTGGGGAAACACATTCAGGGAAAATGATAAAAAGAGATGAAAGCAGTTCAGATGGGTAAAGAATGCTGATTTTAAAATGTGAACCATCTGAACACTGATGAGTGGGCAGGTTGCAATAACTTCAGGGCAGACCTAACTGGCACAACAGCCATATACTGTAAGGCAACTCCCACAGGACATCACCTGCAGTGATTTAAAATTGGAAGGTGTGGGAGTGTCGAGGTACTGCAGAGAGTAATCTTGCAGCAGCAGAGTGCAAATAGGAAATGGGTCAGTTGGAGTAATAGCTTTCTTTCTTGTGGTTTGTGTGAGCTGAGCCAAGCCAAACATATGTGGAGCACTGGGTTATCACAGTCACAATTTTTTTTTCTGTGTATTAGAAATTGCAATGAAATTTGGTCATCCAAGTGTAACTTTATTAATCCTCCCTCTGGTTGGACACTACTTTGAGCCCCAAAGTCAGCTGTCTTTGTCTAATGTTCTAGGCTTTGTCGAGATCATTAAAATAGACTGTGTTTGGAAATGTAATAGTGCGGTCTCACATTCTCAGGAGGTCAGCAGAAACACGGCCTGAAGTATCTCTGCTGATACCACCTGCGGTTTGTTCTCGCCTCTGCATTGTGCCAGGCGATTTGTGCTGAAACAACTGGATGTGTGACCACACTGAAGTGAGAAAAGGGGCTGACCCAGTTTAAAAAGAAAAAAAACAACCAAAACCAAGAAAACCCTCTAACATGTATTTCCCTGCTGTATCAGTTCCACACATGGGGGTCTTGGCAGCAGCAGAGGCACAGTGCAGGAATGAAGGATGGAAAGAGAACGTCTTACACTGGTGTTACTGCTGGGTTCTTTTTCATGTGAAAACACAGTCTTAGTTACAGCTTTGGTTTAAACTTTGCACTCAGCTTTGATGTACTTTAGCAGCTTGCAGAAAGGTGATAGCGTGTGGTGACTGTGGTTTTGGTCCCTCCTGATGGGCAGTGTGAGCAGGCAGTGTGATATCTCAGGCCTGTAAGCTGTTGGGATGTGATGTGATGAGATGGTGGCTCCTGAGGCGCAGGTTGGTAATGAAGTCCAAGCTTGCTCCTGCTCCCATTTGTCTCTGCTGATCACAGCTGGCTGGTACAAGTGGCTCTTAAGTCCCACCATTAAGTTGCCATCGAAACAAATGGGTTAGAAAGAAAACTCCAGAAGAAGGGGATTCGCTTATTTTTAATTTGGATCAGGTGAGTGATCTGTCACTAATTAGTACACTGAGTTACACTGATGATGGCTGTGGTGCAGGGAGGTGAATGGTAAGGCTTATGGTTGGGATTTGCTTCAGTCAGGCTTGTAACTGATAGTCACACCACTTGATTAAGCAAGTGAGTTCGTGTAAGGGCATAGTGTGCTCGATGGTCTAGCAATGTGGTATGTATTTTCCTTGGAACACAGCCCCCTCAGTCAAACTTTGTTTCATTTGGACCATGCATCCATCCACTAATGCACAAGCTGTCCAAATCCCCCAGGTATTACTAGGGCACATATTTCCAGGACTAAGTCTGACATTCTCTACCCACTCCCTTTACATAAATCTCTATCTTATCCTAAAGGAATGTATTTAGATAGTTGTGCCACCCATTCTGCTTTTGGAAAATCCAAACCCCTGGCACCTTGATGTGCACAAGTCCTTCATGCCACTTCAGTGTGCTTGCAACATCCACAGCAGAGGAACAGGAGTTGTTCTTATTCAGGTCTGATACCAGGCAAGAAATGCTGTAGCCACTGGGGCTGTGCCAGCTCATACCAGCTGAGGAAGAGGCTCCCTTCTGACCCATTTGTGTGATGTTCTACCCTCACCCCCTGATGATATGCACAGAACACCATCCTTTCCAGGCTGTGGACAGAGAGGGCTGCAACTTAGAGCTTGTGCTCCCTGCCTGGTCCTTTTGGAGACAGGCTTGCTCACAGTTCCCCTGTGTAAGGACTTTCAGTGGTAAAGAGAAGACAGCTTCTGTTGCACCCACTGTGCACGCACCAGGCATGGGCTTTGCTTTTGCTCTCTTAATGCTATGCTTGGTATAGCAGAAGCGGGCAGGCACATGATCTCCCTGAAGGCAGGATCCAGTGTTACTGTAGAAACTGGCCACCAGCTTCTTTTGTAGCTAGCAGCTGTCACAGTGTGGTTACAGCCAAAGCGTGTCACTCCTACAGTGTCTGCGGGCTCTGGAGTTCTGTTTCTGCCACTGAAACCTTTGTGCTGCTGCCTGGAGATTAATTCTGCACCATCTATCAATATGTGTTAAGATATTTCTGAGTTGTATTTATTTTTCAAACGATTTTTAATAGCATTTGATGTTCCTTACAGGTTTCATTTTCCTTCACCAATACTTCAAGGCACAGAGGAGCTGGTAAAGGCATTGCCATGAAACCTAATTTGAAGCAATGGAAACAACTCATGCTTTTTGGTATCTTTGCATGGGGCCTGCTTTTCTTGGTGATATTCATCTATTTTACAGATAGCAACACTGCTGAACCAGTTCCAAGTTCTTTTTCTTACATTGAAACTAAGAGACTTCTGCCCCTTCAGGGCAAGCAGAGAGTAATCATGGGAGCCATTCATGACCCATCATTCTCTGAAACCATTGATGGGAATGAGGTACTGCTTAATGAAGATCTCCTAGGTACTTTTAAATCGGGGACTGGAAATTCTAAGAAATGGACTGTATTGGAAGAGACCTTCAGAAATGAAGATGAGTTTTTTCCACCCCAGTTGGGAAGAAAATCAAAAAGTGCTTTCTACCAAGTAAATGATGATTATTTATTTGCTGCTGGTCAGCCTCAGTCACACAACCACCTTCAAGAGATAGAAAAATTCATTTCGGCTGACATGAATAATCCAAAAGGAAATATTTTACAGAACAACTGGAGCCATCAGAGAAGAATGAGGAGAAGGAGCATAAAGCATAGGAGAGGCCAGATGCTTGATGAATCTGATGACTGGGATGGGCTGTATTCCACAATGTCGAAATCCTTTCTTTACAAGCTTTGGAAAGGGGATGTCTCTTCCAAGATGCTAAACCCTCGACTGCAGAAGGCGATGAAAGATTATTTGAGTACCAATAAGCATGGGGTGCGGTTCAAGGGGAAACGAAACTCCAAGCTGACAGGAGACCAGCTATTCTGTGAGCTAAAAGAAAGAGTGAATGTGAAAACAATAGATGGCAAGGAGGCTCCCTTCTCCACTCTTGGATGGGAAAAGCACGTTCCCCAAATTCCACTGGTCAAATTATATACACATGGCTTTGGGAGCTGTGCAGTAGTTATGTCTGCTGGTGCAATACTGAACTCCTCTCTAGGGGATGAAATAGGTGGGTGAAATGCTTCTATTTGTGTGTGTATATGTATGTATATGTGTGTGTGTTCATGTTTAAATTTCAAAAGGTTCATGCTTCTCAGGCACAGCTCTGTAAAGTCTGGTTGTTCTCTCTCACTAGAGTTGCATGAATGTAAACGAATGGACTTCAGTGAGGCTGTTCCCTTTCAGAACAATATAACTGAAAGGAAAATCAAGCCTGAAGTCATAAACTAATTTAAAGAAAACAATGATGCCTTCTTATCATATTACAGCTTGTAGTGGGGAGGCGGAACTGGTTTCAGCAGATTTGCTGTATGCAACATTTGTGTGCAACATGCTTTTATTTCTTCAGCAGATTAGAGCTATATGTTCAGGTTTTATTCTGCACAGCTGTGTTACACTGGTCTTTATTTTGCAGTAGCTCATGAGAAACTACTGTTGTATGGCTGAAGCAGTAGTGTGTCCTCTTCATCTCCTGCTGGTTTAGAGTTCACAGGCATAAAGAATTCAGACCCTTGAGTATCTTCATACCCTGAGATCAAGTCCCCTGGTCTCTTTTCTGAGACTGAATTTAAATGAGTTCTAGTGTGTTCACCCATTGTTTTCCCATTGCTACACTGAGTCAATGAGCTTACACATGTGCTGAGATGTCAGTGTCACTCAGAATCCCCCACCTCAAGGTTTGAGTTTTGTAGTAGCTATTCAGAAAAGGATGGTGGGACCATAAAACTAATCCAGGTCACTTATTTTTTTCTTTTCAAAAATTGCTACTACTTGTGTTAGCCTCAGTAGTTCTTCATTTTAGTAGTACATGTGCAGTATGCTAAGAGTGTTGAAAGAAGGATGAAAGGTTTCAGAACTTGTTTCTGAAACAAGAAGAGTCATCTCCTTCAGCTATCTATAAAAAAACCTTTTGATGTTCACTCATTAATCCTTCCCATCTTCCAGGACTTCACATCCCAATACTTGCCTTATCACTCTGTATCATCTCTTTGACACAGATAGGTTTTCTTTAAATCTCTGGGATATGTTGGAGCTCCTAGGATTATCAAACTACTGCAATAGGCTTCCAGCACAGGAGAGGTGCCCAGCTAGCCTGTAGCTAAAATCACACCAGGGTAATTCCACAGGAAGCCTCACTGGTTTAGAAATCTTTGAGTGAAAAAGCTTAGCAGTTCCTACCTTCTCCAGCATGTTATCTTTGACTGAAACAAAATCTTCTGTTATGTTCCCCAGTACAGCCAGTTTGCACCAGTATGGATTAGTGCTGTACTGTAGAATCTGTAGCACATAATCACGCATTACAGCATGCTTCAAGTCATATTTGTACACTCAGGTGCAGCCCAGGCATGGACTTGGGTGCTTGACATGGTACCTGGGCCCTGCCTGCTCCTGTGTGTACCCATTTTCTTCGGAAGTTTCTGGGCACAGAAGCTTAGGTTGTTTTCTACAGAAGAACTTTGGTTTTAAATGGGAAATCGTCATCTGATGCCACCTAAAGGGAGGAAGATTGGGTTTGAAAAAGCCCATATAGAATTTTCAGATCTCATACATGTTGTGCAAGGAGATGTTGGGGCACCAGGAATCACAGAAGGTTTTTTATAAGACTCTCTCAGGACAGATAGCAGCGACTGAGGAGAGGATTTGGCCCAGACTGTGGGCCAACAGCACTGCTAGACAAAGGAGAGCAATGTTAAGCTGAAAGAGAGGGGACTTAGATCAGATGTTAGGAAGAAACTCTTTACAGTGAGGGTAGTGACGCCCTGGAACAGGTTGTCCAGAGAAACTGTGGATGCCCTGTCCCTGGAAATGTTCAAGGCCAGGTTTGATGGAGATCTGAGCAGGAATTGTCCCTGCTGTGGCAGGGTGGTTGGAATTAGATGGTCTTAAAGGTCCCTCCCACCAAACCATTCTGTGATTCTGTGGTTTATTCTCCCAAGAGAGAAAAAAAAAAAAACTATGAAAGAAGTAGCAAAGGACATTTCCCTTCATAGGCCTTTAGCTCCCTCTTCTGTGTTCCTATTAGAAACACAAGCAAAAATGTTAATTTGTGTTCTGCCTTTTGCCCTCCTCTTCCCCACCCCTCTGACTGGTTTTTAATGGAAGTAGGCATGGAAATACTGTGCAAGTATAGTAAACACTCCCATAATGATCATGCTATTAATTGAGAGAACCAATTACTTTGGCATCACAGGAAATAACAGGGATCTGTGATCAAACCCCAAACTTTTTTTGATCTTTAAAATGCTTATCTACAAACACATACTAAGATTAAAATCAGTTTATTTAAAAACAGCTATTTTTGGCAAAGAAGTTTTTCATCTGTATATGAAGAACCAGCATGAGTGTTGTTGGAAATGCATCACACTGTCTCACTTAAGCTGCAAATCATAAAATTCCCATTTCCTAATCTAGTTCTCAGTCAACAGATTGTCTAACAGTTGTCAATCAGGGGTCTAAATTTATGTTCTTAAATTTAATACAACAAACTTGTATTTTTCTTTTCCTTCTCCAAATATGTGAAATACCTACAGGTTGTATTCATTTTCTTTAGTTCCTGACAATCAAGGTGCTTGGCAGATAAGGTCTAGGTGTTAAGGCTAGGGCTGTCCCTGAATTCGGACACAGGAAAAACTTCCACTCCTTAGCTTCTGAAGAGTTGGGTTTGTTTGGCATCTGGCAAAATCCCTCTTTTCAGACATGACATATTAATGCTAACATGTATGTCTGGGATCAGACTGCTGGCTGCATGCCATGCTGTGTTTTCCTGTATGGAGTACAAGAAGTGCAGAGAAAGGAGGGAAAAGATCCCAGTTTGATAGGAGCAAGCCAAGACTCCATTGAGGCATGTTGGTTATCTTTGGAGACTTTTTCCTCTTCCAGTTTTTTAGCTGCAGACAACACATTTTAAATGACTAGAGATGAACAGATGTACAGACTACCTGTGGGTTAAGACGTTTCATATTCTCAGCTTCCTTGGATAGAAGGGATAAAAACAGACCAAATACCAGCTACCAACAGGGACCATTGTTTCTAGACAGTGGATAAAATGTCCTGCTCTCCTTCACACCTTTTGGGCTTTGAGATCCCCTTAAAAGAAGCACTGGGAGGGTGATTATCTCTTACCCAATGGAGGCTTGCATGTGGTGTCTACCCTTGACCCATACTTGACCTAGAGCTGCTTTCGCTGCTCCATGACTCTGAGGTCAACTGCTTGTGGAGTAACTTTGACAGTTCAACTCTGTTAGATCTTTGCTAGCAAGGGATCCTGAGCTTTCTTTGTGTGAGCAGATGTGTGGGCTGGCTTCCATACAGGGGCTCTTTAAGATTTGTACTGAGCTTTAGAATAAGTACACAGTATGATTAATAGATTTGGGGTAGTCTGAGATTTTCAGGTATTATAAAATACTGTGAAACACAAGCTTATAGTTAAGCATTGTTGTTCATTCAAATGTGCAATTAGATATCCCTGCAGTTTACATGCTTTTCCATGGAGCAATTCTCTGTAAATTTTGTGACAGAAGTAGTGAGCAATTGTGTGTACTGGGTGTACTAATAGCCTTCCCACAGTACGTCTATCCAATTAAGAGAAGTATTTAAATATTGCATGCTAAATTAATAGATGATTCTGAACTTCTTTCCCAGTGGGCTTTTATGTTAATAACATATGGCAGATGCAAGAGGATTTTTGTTTGTGCATAGCAGAACATTCATCATCCTTAGAATATCCAGATTAGGACAATTGTATAAATTTTGTATTAGTTTGAATAACTGGTTTTATCTTACTGTTCTGTATATTAAGAAAAAAGAGTTACCCCCTCGTTTGTGCTCCTAGATTCTCATGATGCCGTTTTAAGATTTAATTCTGCTCCAACACGTGGCTATGAAAAAGATGTCGGCAATAAAACAACCATGCGGATCATTAATTCTCAGGTAAGATCTTCTTTTTCAGAGTTCAAGTCAGTGTCTCTTCTGTACAATATGACAGAAAATAAATAATCTCTGTAAAAGTGTTGGATAATATGGGAAGCAGGTAGTGATTCAGCAGTCGTGATGCAGAGAAGGTGAAAGTTTTCCCTTACAGGGATGTTTGCACTGCTGTCAGCAGAGTGGCTCAATAGCCTCGCTTCAGAGAACCAGTTTGTAAAGTTTCTCATGTGAACTGATCTGTAAAGGCACTGCAGGATGCCAGAGAGCTGTCAGTACAGAAGACCTTGACCTGCTGGAGAAGGCATTGCCTCCAGGATTTTCATGAAGCTCAGGCTGTGGTGATTCCAAAGCTGTTTTCTCCTGTTTTCCAGTTCCCCAATTATTTCCTTGCTGGAAGGCAAAAGAAATGGGAACTGAGTTGTGTAACACTAGGCAAGTCATCATGGTTTAAAAATTTGGAAAGAACTAGTAAAAAACTTTAGCATGTACTGGATATTACACATCAGGTGAGTTTGTTCATCTGAATGGAAACAAGAGAAAATGGAATTTTCTGCGTATGGGTGTAAATAAATAATTGTGACTTGAGCTACAGTGACACCTTATGGTTGAGATTAGTTTTTCAATTTCAAAAATTCTACTGCTTGAATTCTTGTCTTGGGCAAACCAAACCTCTTTGCTCTTCGTGAAATGCAGACAAAAAATCAGCAACAGAATTTCGGTGAAATTTTATGACATACTAAAATGAGTTTACTTGGTCAACACCAGGAGTATGGTTGGCCATGTAGCATACTCTCATATTGATTCTTGTTGAAGCAGAGCAAAATTTTCAGTTACTGTAATTCTTACAAGTTCATTTTTTCTTTTGCTTTGAGTGACTGCCCATGCTAAGTCTGTTCTTGGTGGATGTGTTTTTTATGTGTATAAGCTCATGTTCTTTACCGTCAAAAAGAGGACCGTTTGCTGTCATTCACTTCATTCATTTTGTAGGTCTTTGTGAGGCTGCTGAACAGACTTAGGTCTTTGAAGTGATTTGGTTAAATATGCTCCCTTTCTTTTGTTCGCAAGAAGAAAGCAGAAATATCTTATTCTGCCTTAAGTGCTGTAATCAGTGTATAGAGAATGTGGATTTTAATGTATTTTGTTTTACTTTTTTATGCTGTTTTGTTGGGTTTTTTTTTTTCCTTTTCTTTGATGGTTCTCCATTTTACTGTTAGAAAAAATGTCTTGACATTGACCATGCCTGAACTCCTGAACTGGGCAAGGATAAAGGTTTAGAAACTCTTTATAGTTTACTAGACTCAGTGGGCTCCCTGTAGAAGAGAGAAATGTTCTCAGGGAGTGATCTGAGCTTTTTAGATCCCCAACAAATTCACAGAGATTGTGGTTAAATTAGCTGCTATCCATGCAGGGCAGAGTGGGGTCTTCTGGCTCCCAGAGCTGCTGCAGTACATTCCCACTGGGATGGTAGTGGAGGGTCCCGTGGTCTTCTCTTCTGCACTGTGTAAGGCTTGCTCCCCATAAGACCTCCCCAGAAAACAGAGCAAAGTTCTGGCCAGGTCAGCTGACATGGCTTCCTCACAAGTGTTTGTATTCCCACCAGCTTTGTGCTCCTTCAGAAAGCTTAGAAACCATCCATGGTGGTCTGTCCACCTGGTGAGAAATTAGCCTTGCCCTCTCCAAGAGTGAAATCTGCACAGGCCACTTGGTGGAAGCTGCTATCCCTACCTGTACTGTAACTGGGTTACCTTACAGGTTTACTGACCCTCCTCCCCTCCTCACTGTTGGAAACTCCTGCATTCATTTATTTAAAAGGCTGCTGTGGCCCCTTCTTCCTTCATATTCTCCACTGTGAAAGCCCAAAGGATGTGAAGGAAGCCTGTGCACTGGCAACAGATATTGTTATTGCAGCAAAAACTCATAGGTATGAATGCAGGCTCACTGAAAGTGAAATGTGTGTGGACAGCACATCCAGAGAACTCTTGCTTACTGAAAGGCAAGTAAGAGCTCCTTTGTGTGTAAGTGTGGAACCAAGATTTTAAAATCTTGGCCTTTTGATCAATTTGCTCTGTATACTCAAAAAAGGTGTTTGCATTCTGAGGTGAAAATTGTACTGAGAAATTAAGTTGGGGATGCTGCTAGCAGCATGACTAATTCTGTTCTTACTGTAGAAGGCTGATGGAAATCATTAAAGTCAAAGTTTATGGTAGGAAGAATATTGCTATGGCAACAATATTATTTTTCTGAAGAAAAATATGCATAATTAAACATGGCTCATTGGATCCTAAAGGGAAATGAAAATTATTATGGATTTATTTGTCTGGAATGTTGATTATTTTAACAGCTGGAAGAAAATTCATGCTGTTTTGACCAGTGCTGAACTGCCTGGCATTGGATGCACCAGGAATCAAAGAGATCTAGTTAGACATGGAGGGTTCTGGAAGCCTGCACCAGCAGGAGTGAAGAGTAGACTTCCAGTGTGTTGGGATGATCAGGCAAAGTACTGGGAGATACAGGAAAGAATTATATGTGAGCAGTAGATTAGAAGAAAATGACAGTTTCTTTCAAAAATAGCCCTGCAACATGCCTGTTGTTGGAATTGTTTCTCTAGGTATTCCAGTTTGTACAGTCATGGTGTAATTTGCATTTTTTGATTGAAATGACACTAACTTGCTGTTAAAATGAGAAAACCTCGTTTTAGAGGTGTGAAGAAAGAAATGTGAAAAAGGTGCTTGGGGATGGGTGGCAGAGAAAGACTTTGCCCTTGGGGGATGTAGCCCTTCAAAGAAAGCTGCTCTGTGTCCATGAGGATCCTGCAGGCATCTGAAATGGTGTTTTGTTTTCAAGTTCCAGAATACACAGTAATGCTGATATGCAATAACACAGCATCTCAAGTGGTACCATCACTCACAGATGGAGAGTAATTCAGCATACTGCTACTTCAGACTGTAATGAGTGCTGTTTATGGCTAAGCTTTTTTTGTATATTTTTTTTAACAAAACAAGATGCTTAAAATCAACCAGAACTGAAGCATAACAAACAGCAGTGTGGGTAGGACTGTTCACTTGAGAGAAGGATTTTGCCATTTTTATGGATCCCACTTGCTTTTAATGCTATTCTTTGCCTTTGTGTTTGCAGATTCTCACCAATCCAAACCATCACTTTGTCGACAGCTCCTTGTATAAAGATGTTATCTTAGTAGCATGGGATCCTGCTCCCTACTCTGCAAATCTGAATGTGGTAAGATATCCACTTAGACTTTTCTTGCCAATTATTTGAAAGTACTGGAGAAAATTAATTTGCTACTTCAGTCTCCTGGTTCTCCCTTTTCACCATGAGCCCCAGGTTCTGTCTGTATCTCAGTGGAGAATGCTATGTCTATAGGAATTGGTCAAAATTGGTTTATTGGTCAAAAACTTTTTAGTAGCCAGCAATTATACTGGAAGGGATTGTTCTGAGATGCTAGGATAGATGAATGGTGGTATTTATTTGATAACACATTGCTATTTTTACATAACAGTGAATTTTCTGTGTTTTTGCCAAGGAGGGAACACTGCTAGATTTCAGAAGTAGGTTTTATCAGGAAAGGTGAAAAACTGTATCAATTTTTCCCCATCTTCCCCTCTGCCTTCCCAAACAAAATACAACATCCTTGTGATAGTCTCTCTGGGTGCCTTCCCCATTTCTCAGGCCTCCTCCCCACCAGCTTTCCCTTTGTGTCCACTTCCCAGAGCCATCTGTGCCCTGCTGTCCACCCCCTCACTGAGAGCAGCAGATGTCCATCTGGTTGTCACTGGGGGAGTCTCTACTTTGGCTGTTGCTGCAGCTCCGGCAGACAAGTTGATCTGATGGCTTTTGGCACGGGGAGCTCGGAGCTGAGCAGGCTGCAGAGTAGAAAGTAAACCTTCATCTGCTGAACTCCCTTAGCAACAGATGCCAGAGGCTGCCTGCTTCCCACGCAGGCTGCCATCAGCCCGCGTCATGCGCTGCTGCTGCTGCCTCCGTCAGGGACAGGGACGCTTTCAGAGCAAGATTCACCCCCAGGCCCAGATATCATGTCAAAGCTCTTTGAACCTCTTCTTTAATGTGGATCTGTGAGGGAAAAATGGTCTTGGCTCATCCCACAGCAGCCAATTACTTATTGGGAGTTTCTGTATGAAGACAAGACACAGAGTAGCCCAGAGTGAGGAATGCCTTTCTAGCAGGAGCATCCACCAGTGCAGGCTGCTTTGCTACCTTTTCTTCTGTTCTGCAGAACCCAAATGAAGCCACTTTATGCTATTGTACATGTAGTGCTCAAAACATGTTTCTTACTATTAAAAAACATGTGACTTTTTTCCTCTCAGTGGTATAAGAAGCCAGACTACAATCTGTTCACTCCCTACGTACAGCATCGCAGGAAGAATCCAACCCAGCCATTCTACATCCTCCATCCAAAGTTTATATGGCAGCTCTGGGACATCATTCAGGAGAACACTAAAGAGAAGATACAGCCCAACCCTCCTTCTTCAGGGTTTATTGGTAGGTGTACCAAAGATGGTCCCAGCAGACATGTTAGGTTTAAAAAATCATTTCAAATGTATACATTGCATGAGGATCGAGTCCATAAATGTGTACTGTGTGCTCTATACAGAAACAATAACAAAAACACACAGTATGAGAACTAGAAAATAGCTGAGTGAATTTGATGTTCTGCTTTCTTGACCTTCACATCCATAGTATGTCTACCACATCTATAAAATATGCATATATCTATGAGAAATTTGTATTATTACATATTAATATATCTTTTGAGGACCTAGTCAATTCTGAAGTTCCTCATTGGGATCATAGAGCAGAGAATCCTTAGACAACAAATGAATGCAGATGGCACATCATGTAGACAGGGTGAAATCAATGGCAGGTTGAGCTGTATTCCCTACATAGGCCAAGGGATTCAGGAGCTCAGTCTGAGCACGTCTCTTCTTCACTGGAAGCAGTAGTGTTTCACTGTATTTTTTTGGTCTTTCCTTAGTATTTCTGGGGGGACATTTTGGCACTCTGTCCACAATTCATACAGCAGAACAACTCATCTGATGTACAACAGGCCCCGAGTGTGGACAGGTCTAAAGGATGCAAGCAGGCAGTGCGACAAGGCTGAGTCAGGGTCATCCTGGCTTATGCTTCTACACTCAGAGGGCAGTACAGCCTTAAATACCATCTTCCACTTTGGAAACTCCATCCCTTCCTCACTGACATTGTGATATTGATCTAGGTATTTGCTGCAGTCAGAAATTGGTTTGGTAATTTCCTTTGTATTTGAATCTGAAAGCAAAGACACCCGAGAATGCATCTGATATGGGAAAACCAGATTTGAGCATTTATCTTGGGTTCTATATGCAGTAGTGGCATCCTAGGATACCCTGGAGCACACCAAAGGCCTTAGAGAGGGTGCAGAAGCTCCCTGAGGGAGAATGCAAATGTTTCTGGGAGATGCCCATCAATGCCTTGAGTGGGTTGTGCATACCTGGAACATGAGTGGAAAGTAAAGGAGGCCTGGTATGTTGTTGGAGAGGGCCTTGGCTGTTGGTTACTTCTTGAAGTGAGGGTTTTTTTGGAACCTGCTTGTAAAAATTCACAGGGAGAAGACAGCTCATGTAGAATGATCTCACCAGCTGCATTTTGCAAAGTGTTTCTTGTAGCAATGAAGTTGTTGATAAAAATAGGTTAACAGCTGCTGATTGTAAGAATATTGAAGAGGATCATTGTGCTGTCAATCTGTACTTCCACCATACATAAAAAACACTTCAAAAGCTTTCTTTGAAGAAATGGAATTAATTTCACTATGAGAGTAGAACAGCAATCTTCAATCCCAAATCTAAATGTTAGTGACAAAAAAAATCCTTCAAGCAGAGAAAGCTTTGAAAATATAAACCATTAAACAAGCAAAATTTTAACAACAAAAGCTGTACAGATAAATATACTCTGTGTACAGATGAAGATTTGCCTTCTTCTCTAGTGGGAATTTTATTTATATTGTTCTTTTCCAAGAAGCAGTGCTTTTTGGTAGGCTGTTACTAACTTTAAAGAAACAAGGTATTAAAATGAGCTTATTGGATGTCATATCCACCCCATTTCATAACTAGATACTGTTCTGATAGATGTATTTTAAATATTTTATTAGGGAGAGTCTTCCTGTTTTGATAACCTTATTGAATGCATTGCACATTTAACACAATCTAAATACAGAGGTAGCACAGAAACAGCAAATGCATATTGTCAGGGACTTAAAGGGTAAGATAAAGCTTAAAAATATAATACAGCTTGGCAGAAAGCTGAAAAGTCATGTTGGTCTTCAGTTCAGGTGTCTCTCAATCACTCATGCAGCAAATAATCCTGTTGGAACTGAAGCTAGCAGACACAAATAGTGTGCCTGTATGAAGGAGGTGTGCTGAATATTGAGCTTCTACCTGATCTTATGAAATCTATAAAATTATTTCCTATAGAATTAGTAGAAAGATTGAGTAAGTGATGGCCATCATAAAATATGAGTGTCTTAATTCCAAGAAGAGAAAATAATTTTTTTAATTACCACACTACTAAATGCCACTGTGCTTAGAAGAGCTATATGAAGGAAATGGGCTGTTGTTAAATAGAGGGTATGAATTTTTACAGAGATATACATTCCTGAATCTGAGCAATTTCTAGCATGGACCATGATGATTCTAATCATATAGAAAAGGTTACAAAAATGGTTCTGAGTCAAGCAAGGCACTTTTGTTTCAAGCTTTTTAGCTTCCATTAGGCCCAGTTTACAAAATTGGACAAATGTATAAATTAAAACATGGAAACATCAGAATGTTTCTTTTCACAAATGTCAAGAATGTTTTAGCATGGTCTTACACTGTTTCATCAGTAATTACATTTTTCTCCTGACAGTTTTGTATATTCCTGCACTTAGTACTATTTATAAGGAACTAAATCTTGCCAAAGAAAGGATGTTGGTGGAATGTGTCCTCAAGGTGTTCTTCTGCAGCAATGAGTCAGCATCCTTCCACAGTGACTTATGTCAGGGGAATCTTTCAACATTGTTAATAACTGTATCACAGTACTTAAATCACAATATTATTAAATCTTTCAGAAAGGGAGCCAGTGGGGAAGAGGTAGTCTCTCACGTGCTTTGATTTTAGAGGAATGAGAGAGAAGAGGTAGAACTTCTCCCCTGGTTTTTTCACTGCATGGGGGCTAGGGTTAAAAATGGTTTTTGCACTTCCTTTGGGGTATGGGCTGCCCTACATCTGCATAAATTCCACCTGGACCCCCTGCCTCCCTCAAACCCTGCTACATCAACTCTGCACTGGCTCGGTGTTGCTGAGGAGAGGCAGTAGCATTTGGCAGCTGGGGCTGGGTGAGGGAACACAGGGTGTGTCCCAGCTGTGGAGGGGAAATGAGAGGATGGGAAGAGCAGGATTGGTTGGGGGGGATGATGGTTTGTGGGTAAAGGTCCAACAGGGTAAACCAACCTTTTGATTTTAATCTGGGGGTCTCTTTTGGTTTGTTTGCTGAGACACCAGCATGGACTTTAGCTGGCTTGTAGCATTGCCTTATGTGACATGTCATAGCTTAACTGATGTCACTCTTCATCATAAACCATTTATTCTTTGTCTTTCTAATCTAATCTTTATAAGAGCTTTGAGAACCCATTCCTTCTTATTTTTGCATTGCTTTTGCAGCTGCTGCCTTCATGCTTCTAAACAAATTTCTGCACAGTATTCTCATCATCTTGCATTAGCATTAGGCAATTGCCATGGTGGCTTTTCACAGTTAAAGTTGTTGGATTGTGTTTGGCTGAAAATAAGTTTGCTAAATGAGTATTGATATGTTTACGTCTCATCTTGGACTTGGATCTATGCCATTTTTCTCAGAAGATATATAAGCATTCAACCACCAAACCTCAGACTTGGAGTCCACTGGCAAATCCTAAATTACCACTGTTACTAGGGAAGGATTTGCCCTACCTTTTGGCAAGAGATGTAAGTCACCTCTCACTTCCTGTTAATAAGTCTTTCACTGTGAAATGTGAAATCAGTCTTCCTCCCTTCTTTCTGTACATATCAAAGCTCAGTTTTTAATTGAATCTGATGTGTATAAAGTGTCAGTCTCTACTGTTACCATTCTGCTGTAAGAACTAACTGTTCCTGTACCCTCTTTGGTAGCCAATGTAAACAGCCTATTCTGACCTTACATTTTTGTCATCTGAAGACCAGGAGTAAAACTGCAGAATTTCCCAAGAGAAGCCTTCTGTGCTCATTGGATGGGATGGTACATTAGCATTACATTAGCATTTGAAAATTCTGAGAGCTTTTTAATAATGTCAAGATCATATAAAGGCTTTTCTGTGGAGATTTTGCTCCTGTCCAGTGTTTACTTAGTGGATTTTTCTATAAATTCCTACTTACCGTAGTCCATCAGTACACTCTGCTGATTTACTACTTCAGAGGTGACTTTACATAAATGTGAATTTTAATTACTGTTAGAGAGCAGTGACTTTTATCTTTTTAAAAGCTAGGTGAAAGCTGTGACTGCAGTATTTTGGTTTGTTTTCAATCAAAACATGACCTGTGTAGATTCTTACATTTTAGGTTGTCTGTGTAGGTGGTAGTTTTGATATGTGCTAGAAATTTTAGCATAACATACAGTCCACCGAACACAAAATAACTAAGCCCAGATTACTTTATTGTTGGGAGAAGGGAAATGTTGTTTGAGGCTTTACAGTTGGCATTCCAGTTTTAACAGTTATGCATCAGTAATAGTCAATAACATTATTTTAATCTTCATTTACATGCATCAGGACAATAGTACAAATAAGGCTATCATTACACTGCAACATTAGCAGGTTATTGTAGGACTAAGAACTTAAATTTAAAACAGCTTCAGAGAGCATGTTGCATAGCAGTATACAGCTGATCTCCAACTCTGCTTAGAAAAAAAATTCACTTTCATGAACTGAAAGAAACAATTGGACATATTAAGACTTGCCTTTGTTGCTGTTATTCAGTTGCTTTAACAGCAGTTGGTGCAAGAACAGAATAGTGCTCACTCTTGCCAGCTCAGTGTTGTTCAAGTATTAGCCCACATATAAATAATACCTCCAATACATAAGCTTCAAATTATTCTTACTCAAATTTCAGCATGCTTTTTATTAGTGTATCTCCCACTTCTCAAAATGGAGACATAAAAGGGCAAACTCTCCTCTTAAATCACATTAAAAAATTTATTATTCTAGTGTATCTCCCAAAATTAAACAATACATTTAGAATTACATTATATTACTGGTCAGTATTTTCCAGTCTGTGCTCATATTACAGAATGTATTATTGTGATTTATGTAGAGCTTTTTGCATTCACCAAGTTATAAATATGCAATTTTCAAGGTCTACTATGTAATGCTAGTATCTATACATCAAAGATGACAAGTATTGCACAAATTATTAAGCTTAGGCACAGGGCCACTTGGTGACAATTTTTTGATAAATAATTTTTCTTGTGGTTAATATTTTTCACATAGTTCATGAACTAAACAGAGGTAAGGGAACTCTTTTTAAGAAACAAAGTGTTTTAAAAAGCCAGAGCTACTTTTACTGCATGTACCAAAAATAACTGAGGCACATTTGGCCCAGTTTCAAGGACTTTCCTGTGGTACCTGCAATCCAGTCAAGAGAGACTATAGTAGTAGACTATCACTAAGAAGACTACACCTTCTAAATGCTTTGTGCTTATTTGTAATACTTTAAAATACACAAACTTACTAGTATATTTAGCTAAATTATTTTCTATAACTGAATTTACGATGTGTGTGAAATGACACATTATGGGAATGAATCAGATTATGTGTATTTAAGTGTTTTCAGCATCTCTTACATTATGTTATAATGATCCTGTATTCTTGATGAATGTTTGACTTACACTTATAATTCTAGATGCTTTCATACAGCATCTGTTGATTCAGATATATTAAACTATATTTTATTTATTTGTAAACTAAAAAACATTCTTTTTTAAATTAGAGTGCTAACCACAATGCTTAATTGTACCATACAATATTCATGTTGGAAAATTAAAACCTTTGGAATTATTCAAATTGCCAAGAACAAATAAAAAAACAATTTTCTCCTTATGATTAGAATCCATAGAAGAGGTTCATTTGTAAAAACCATTCATGCAAGGAATTTAATCTTCATATAGTTCTGGTTTAAATATTCTCAGTGCAGATTGTAAAGCTAGGTTTATTGTGCCATTTGGAACTTAGTTTAAACTATACCCAACACTTCCTAACACCAAAAGTATCTGCCAAATAGAAAAAAATAAAAGTACTACATTACACTTGATCTTAACCAGAATTCTAAGAAGACATAACACACTTTTCTAAGAATTTGAAATACTAATATATAATAATTCAAAATATGTAATACTGTTTTAGTGTCTACAATTGCACTGTTATAACAAAATTGCATTTTACTGTTTCTGACAATCACATAATTTCTTTGGAATAATATATGTTATAGTATTTTTAAAGAGTATTCTATGCTCACAATTCTTTTTTTTTTCCCCTTTTTTTAAAATGTTCAGTTGGGTGTTCATGAACATTTCCATTCAACTATAAAACATTCACAAAGCACAACTTTAAATGTTCTACCACAAAACAGGCAGAATTATTTTGCATTTTTCCATTTTTACAATTGTAATCCAAATGTGACTTTCAAAAATCCAGCAAGGGTATTAGAATTAGATTAGTGGCCTATGCAGAATTATCTTCAGTTGTGATTTTGAATGTATGGTAGCCCCAGTTATGTTTGTCAAAACTAAAATCATGCTGGATACCCTGACCTTTTCCTTAATGTGAAATATGGATTGGATATTTAAGATCTAAAAGGCTTTTTTATATTTAGATGCTATAGACAGCCTATAGGCTTTCCCTTTCAGTTTTTACATTTTCTCAGGTTGTGCATGTCTACTGGCCTTCCCCAAATATTTTGTAATTCTCTTAGAATTAGAATTTATGACTGCTGGAAAAAACCTCCACATCTCCCATCAGCTTAATCCTTGCACATAAATTTGCCCTATCTGTACGGTCCATGTCTGGGTCAGTCAGAGAGCAGGATTTGTGCTTCCTGACTTCAGCTGTTCCCAGTGCAGGTCTGTATTTGTGTTAGTCACCCTCAGAATTGTTTCAGAAAAAAATAGGTACCTCTTAAATATTACTGTGAGCCTCAAATTGTCCTCAACATGTGAAATTTTCATCCCATACTGGGAGTGCAGCTATCCATGCTGCTACTCAGGCTTCTCCTACAGCCAACAGGAAAAACCAGGAGCTTCTGGGGAATGGCTTGTATGATCCATTAGACATGCCCTGCTTCCTAAAAGTGCCCACCTTCTTCTGCTGACAGCAAAGCAGCCTGTGATACCTATCTCAGGTGTGGGTAACTGCACCAGGGGCAGTTTTTGTTTTTGTGCCTTGTTTTTGTTTCTTCTCATTGTGCTTCTGGAAAAGCCAGTTATATTATTTTTCATGATGCTCCAAAAGCTACTTACACAGGAGAGTAGAGGAGAAGGTTCTTGATAGCCAAGAACCTTCTTATTTTTGGTTTCTAGTCAGTGGAGAGAAACAACATTAAAGTTCTCTTTAAGTGAACAATTCAACATATCCTAAAGGAGACATCTAAAATAAGTCAGATGAGTTTTGCCCTAGAAATACTTGTCACCTGCATTGTCTGTAAAGACTGCTTTAAACCAGCAAGGTCAGAGATGGGCATGAACATCTCAGTAAGATTAATTCTGTCCAGACTTTGTATTGTGTTGAGACAATGACTGTTTCATGATGTTTATTAATAGCTCCTTAGGTCACATGTAAGACAGTCTGCGCTGTTTTATATATATAATAATTGTGCATTGACTGAAAATTGTTGTAAGGACTGTTAGCAAAGACAAATATTGAAGTGTATGGAAATTCTTCACCTTACAGGCTATCAAATAATGAGGCTTTCATTCATACTGATAACTGGGAGAGTGTTGAGACATGGAACAAAGTCAGTGCAGATGATGTTGAATTGGGTGGTGATGTGAAAAGTACACAGACAAAAGAAATAAGTGTAAAGACATACTCAGAGGGCAGTACAGGCACAGGACATAAACAAGGCACACCTTGGCACTACAGGTGTGGGAGAAAATGCCAAGAAATTCAGCCACAAAACAGAAACTTAGAAAGCAGTAATACAGACAGAAATGTGTAAAGATAATGACTGGGAAGCAATGTGGGACTTCTCAGAATAGACAGGCAAGCAAAATGAATTAATTGGACCAAAATTGTCTGAAAGCAGTCAGACACATTCCTCTTCTTTAGTTTTTAGACTGCAACCAAAACATTAAAGTTCAAACATAATGTAGAAAGTATTTTGGGGGTCATGTAAGTGGCAAAAAGCAATCGGTGATTTTAAAAAATTTATAATATCACTGAAGCTAAATGGAGGAGAGAAGGGAAGGTACATGAAAATGTAGACAGCTTGGCACACTTATATCTGCTGGATGAAGATGTCAGTAGCTTCCTGCAGTGTTAAAACCAAGCAAAGACAGGAATGGGGTTAAAGAATGGTATGAAAAAACATGGGGTGGAATGTGAGACCTGTAGTCCAGGGAGCTCTGTTGGCAGTGCTGGAGACTTAGGAAAAACAACTTAGACACATGGCATTAGAAAAAACATAGAATAAAACCTGAATATCTCTTAGTACATGGACTGATGTAAATGCCCTAGTGGTCAAAATTGCTGCTATTCTTTTAAAGATGTTCAATTAACATATTTTGTAAACTGAGTTTGCAGTAATGGCTCTATAACACTAGGGCTGTCCCCTGTGGAGGGGCTTCACATACTCCAAGGCCTGAGACAGAAATGAAACCACTTCTTCTCTATTTTAGACAGGACTGTATTTGCACAAAAAAAAGATGGTTTCCTTTCCAAAAAGAAGTTTTTTTTTTTCCAATTCTTCTCTATTTGTTTTATTGGGTTGTTTTTGTTGTTTTGTTGTTTTTTTGTTTTTTAATGCCCTGCAGAACAGCAGGAGCAGATCATTTCAAGGGAGAATCTGGGGGCTCTGCAGCTTAGTAGAGGGCCCTACTTCCTCAGGTTCATGTGTTGTCCTGCATCTCACCCACAGATGGTTTGGCTGGAAGTCCTGGTAGTACCGCACTGTGGTCCCGTGGGCTGGAGGTCTGTAGTGTTAGAGGTGCTAAAGGAAGAACAGCCTGGCACTGACCATCATTTTGCCCAGACTAGGGTTTGAGTATTTGACATGTACACAAGGCCTGGAAGTGTTAGGAATGCTCCTGATTCCACCAGGACAGAGAAGCCTCTAGCACAGGGACAGTTCTGCGTGTGGTAAACTCTACTAGTTGTTGTAGCTCATCTCTCGGACTTCAACACAAGAATGTGCTATAACTTAGTGGTTACCACTCAAAAATAGTCTGCCAAGTCAATGTCTTTTCTCCTGCCAAACATCATCATCCAGCATGAGCAAAAATGTAAATTGAAGCTATGGTTATTTATGAGCAACCTAGACTGAAATCCCAAGACATGATCTGGATGAAAGCAGGCAGGAAAAGTAAGGAGCTAAACTAGATAGCCCTGCATGCCTTTTTGGTTGATTCTGGAGGACACTGAACCACTGATGACTAGAAGGTAAAACTCTACCACTTCTATGTCCTCCATTAACTAATTTACAGCAAAGTCAATGATACTGCTTAAAATTTTGTCATGATTGAACCATATCTGGAGTCAAGTGGCTAATTTTGTGTTATTAAGGAGTCACAATTTTTGTTCTGGACAGATTTTCAATTCCACAAATGGCAACTTCCTTTATTACTTGTAGAGCTAGCTTGGTAATGTGGCAGTGAAATAATAAAACACACTTTGGTTAAGGCTTGTAGTTTCCATCAGAGCCAGTTTTTCTAAGATGTCGGTGGTATAGCTTTTGAAGTTGTCTCTGGGCACAGGAGAGAAGTCATTTTACTGTCTGTTTCTGGATGTGGTTCATTATTGCACACGGTTCCACCATCCGCCCTCTGATCCAGCTGGATAACAGTTACCTTGGAATGGTAGATGGGCTCTCCATCAGTGGAGGAAGGAGGCTGGCAGTGGAAAAGCTGACGAAAGCATTTGTAAAACTAAAACAACAAAAAACCAAATAATTCTAGATATAGCTGCTTGGCGGGTTATGATTCAGAGCATCTCTACAACACCTTCAATGCTAGGAAACTTGGTTTATTAAGCATGTACCTTTTTTTCAAATAGGGATTAAATATTTTTTCACCATGAATATGTGTTTCTTGCTGCTTAAGGCTAAAGTTCACTCAAATTTGAGAACTTTAGAATTGATATGCTTAGCTTTTCTAACACTATAGATTCTGCAAAGCTGTAGAACAATTATAAAATATTTTCAGAACCTTTAATTTATGATAAAAGCTGTGATCACAGAAGTAATTGGTTTTTAGTTAATTCACACATCAGGCAGGGAAAAGTCATTTTGATAATCTAATGATACACAACAGGGAGAACATAGGGTTCGTTTCATTAGCAAGTCATTGAAATCCCTGCATTCTCAAGTTGTAAAGTAAACTTCAGAAAATGGCTGTGCTTAATTAAGAAACCAAATTAATTTTTTATGTTAATTCATTTCACTTCTGAGATCTACCCAAAACACCTTTGATGATGCCAAAGATGTTGAGCAGAAAAAAACCCCAAACAACAATTACATCAGTTCTCATCTGTAAGTGCCAAGTGAGCAGAGTCACACAGCTACCTCCCCTGAGAGCTGACAGTCCTGTTCCACAGATAGGGACACCAGTAATGCTACAGGTGCCTCAAATACCGTTCCTACACTAATTTTTTTTTTTAAGTGAAATCTTAGAAAAATAAATAGCATCCAAACTTACTTCATGTCACTTTCCTTTTGCATGGCTTTGTGAAACAGAAAAGGCTTCCAGGAGCTGTGATTGATGTGAAAGTATTGTAGTTTAGGCAAAGTTGTTGATCATTATCTGGTATTAGTCCATCTGAAAATGTGCAGCTGCAACAGCATTATTTCTCTTGTTTTAAGGTTATAAAGACCACAGTTGATGGTGCTGATGACAGTATGCCATTGGCACATGGCAGAAAAAAATGGGTTGGCATTTTGTGGATTTCTTCTTGCTGAGCAAGGAAGTGGTGAGGGGCTTGTCCTTATGACAGCACTGCATGAAGTAGGAATCTGTCTCTGGTGTCTCTCCATGAGACTTGTCTGAAGCTGTGGGCTTCTGTGCCACCACTACATGGGTGATGTTTCTTTATATGCCCTTCTGCATGTGTTTGGCCAAGTCTTGCTGCTTAGAGAGAAGCAAGTGGATGGGAAAAGTGGAATTGGCTCAATTTCAGACTAAGAGAGACCAACATTGCAATAAGGTGGAGATGTTTCAAGGATTCTTGTGGGGAATGTTTTGTGGAGAGTCCACAGAGTAAATGGGGGGGAAGTGGGAAAGAGCAGTCTTCTCACTCAGGAGGCTGATAGTGATATGCGAGTTCTTTACAGGCTTTTCACTCTTCCTCTATGACTGTTATCCTACCCTGTTGACTCTACAGAGATCACAATCTTTATGTATGAGGGACAAGTGAAAGCTGCTCAAATAAAAGGAACGATTGCTTCACTTAATGATTTTACAGAATGCTTAAGGTGTGCGACAGCAAAGAAAAGAAGCAAAGAAAAAACAGATTGGATGACTGCTGGGAAATTTCTGCGAGAAAAGTGAAAGCTGGTGTTCACTTTTGTTTTCACTTCTTGTTGCAGGTATCCTCATCATGATGTCCATGTGTAATGAAGTGCACGTGTACGAGTACATCCCTTCAGTGCGGCAGACCGACCTGTGTCACTACCATGAACTCTACTACGATGCAGCTTGCACCTTAGGGGCCTACCATCCCCTGCTCTACGAGAAGCTCCTGGTGCAGAGGATGAACAAAGGTTTGCAGGATGATCTGTATCGGAAGGGGAAAGTCATTTTGCCAGGGTTCAAAGCTGTCAAGTGCCCCAAACGAAATAATTTCCCACACTTGTAGAAGTAAGTCTTTCAGAAACAATGTGCAATAAGGTACTACTGTCGTACTATAAACAAGAAGAGAATACTTGAAAAAATATATCTTAGACCAATCTAGTCTTGAGTCTATAAATTGTAATTAAGTAGCAGGCATGAGAAGTACTTCTTTTCTGAGCCTGAGTATTTATTACTGCTTTGCAAATAGTTACAGAAGAAAAGCAAAAGCTTAGTTCATGAAGGTGCAAAGGACATACTTAGGCAGAAATATAATGTATCATTGTTGGTGTGACTGTCAGAATTTGTCGGTGGTCTCATGCCACATATGCTAGACTGTAAGTTTTTTTAAATGAATTTATTTAATTGTCAAACCTGGCATTGTGAAACAGCCTCCATTGTTCATGTATGTGTGGCCAGTTGAACAATGCAGCATTTCTCATGGCTCCATGGGATTTTCACACTCTCCCAGAATGAAGTAATTGCTACTCCGAGCTGTGCAGTCATTCACTAGAGCAGACTTCAATGCCTGTTCCTACACAGACTGAGTTCCAGGCCTGCAGCTGAACAGGGGTTTAGGGTAGCCCTGAAGTGTGTGCAGAGATGGCTGTACATAGCTAAACCAGTTAAACTACTGCATGTGGTTTTGGATGCCAGTTTCCCATGCTCACACTGACTGAAGAGGGAAGAGAGAAACCATTTCTTTAGAGAAAAAAGAACATATTTGTAACCCAATTAGGAAGAAAAACTGTCCCTGAAAGGATTATCAGGAAGGTATGAGATGGAAATGGTGCCTCCCCCCAGTCTGCACAGATACAAAAGATCCAGAGAAAGCCAAGGGAGGCTGTGCAGCATTCACCCATTACACTGAAAAGCAAGCATAGGGGCTCACCACTTGTCAACAAAGATAACATTCAGGAATAGAGACATTATTTTTAGGTATTTCATTGGTATCTGAATCAAAGTCACTTGTTCACAAGTTCTTGCTGTTCAGAAAGGAGAAGTTGTCTGACAAAAGAAGATGATATCAGCATTTTTTACTTAATGCTTGAAAGACTATAACCCAGAAAAGCTGTAATGCCTGCAAAAAAACCTGACAACAGATTGCATATGGAGATGGTTTGATATTTTCATTCATAACACACAAGGATAATATTCTTTAAGGCAATTCTAAAAGTTAATGGTCTGGAGTGGTTTTCTCAGTTGTTTGGTTTGGTTTGGTTTTTTCCCAGCTGACTGTACATTTTCTTTTAGAATAAGTTCAGCAGGAATATTTGTACACAAAAGCACAGCTATGTCCTACTCATGTCCAACCAGTAAGAAAAGCAGACAGCTCAAAGGGGCATTGAAAGGAATAGCTGACTGGTTGTGGTGGAAAGTGTTTTTTGTGTTTTGACTTAAGCAAAAAGCTTTTTGCCAGAAAGGCAAAGAAAGGTAAACAACATTAATGACTATTTCACCTTCAGTTGCAAGGATAATCACAAAAGCCTTTTCCTGTCACTCAGCTCTTTGGGAAGTAGTATTGGACGGATCTTTTGGAAGGATTATTTTCCTTCCTCAAAATGAAGAATAAATATCTTACATAGGACTTAGTCTTCTTTTCGGGCTTTACGATGATCTTAAGATTCTTCTTATTGACAGAAATTATGTGTAGATGATCTAATAACTGTACTTCTGTATTGTATGGATAGTTATGTCCATAAGGCATTTTGGTACATATCAAAATTGTAAGTTTTACTCATACTGGGCTTGGACTCTGGATGTATTACATACCAATTTCTTTTTTAATGTTATGTGTGGCGGCAACTTTTATTCTTGAAGTTAATAACATTCTTATTTAAATGCATGGAGGATAGATAGCCTACACAGAACTAATCTATTTTTCCATATGTTTGGTACCCTGTTTGCAAAACATAAGCAGTCTGAACAGTGCAATCAAATATGTCTCTCTCTTCTGTACCCTGGGTTAGCTATGACATAAATGTAAAGGAAGAGAGTTTAGCTTTCTAAGACTAGTGAATATGCTACTTTTCAATAAGCAGAAACTTCTAGAGTTCCAAAAAGAAAAAAAAAATCGCTTTGACTGGCCTGCAACTGCTAACTTTTAATTTCGATTTTCACAAAGAAGACAAATACTAACTGCATTGCTCAACCACCCACAGCAGGATCATGTAGTATTATTTATTCTCTCAATAATTTTTCAGAATAATCAACATAGCTGTTGCTTACACAGAGCAAGGCAAATGACAATGTTTCATGTAACAAGTGCTAGGCATACCTACTTAGTACATCACTTATATACCAATGCAGAACCAGGTCTGAATATTTATTACTGCTTTGCAAATAGTAACAGAAAAAAAAATCTGTATATTTTTTATTTACTGGGCTGCACACTCAAGCACTTGCAGCCAAAATTTTTTCTTTGCCTTATCCTTTATATGGCAGTCAGTCCTCCTTCCATAAGTACAGATGCGGCTGTTATAGCACCAACACCTCCGAAGATGCTGCAGAGCTGTGCTGCAAACATTTGCTCACAGAAGAGGAAGACCTACCTGTGATGCCGCCTTTAAAACTGAGCCTGGAATGGCTTTCTAACACTGGTATCCACTGTGATGTTTTACTGGTCTGCCTGCTCAAACACATTGTCGTTGTTTAAAAAGCTTTTTCTCTCCTACTTTGTCTTGTCCTCCTTCAGTGTCTGGCACAAGTGCAAGTGTGTTTGATCTGCTAATTGAGGGCTCCCCTCCACTTGCTGAAAGGGGGGAAGGGGCAGAAATAAAGGGGAAACATGGAGGACCTGCAGAGGTGCTCCTCTCAACACTTCTTACTCTCTGTGGCATTGGCATTCTGGCTTTTTTAAGAGCCCTCTGAGTGTTTTTGAATTCATGGGCATTTCCCCATCCCTTGTGAGGGCAGAGAAATGTTTGCAAAGAACCACATTCAGTAAATTTAAAACAATCAACATGTAACAACACTGAACCGCAGCTCTTCTAAAAATAATGAGAGTGAGAGTGTTGGGTTTACGTGCATGTTAAATGCTGTAAAGTGATAAGGAAGTGTATTTTTTCACCAAGAACATGGGACTTTTTGGGGAAAAGATACAGGCATGGCTTAACAGCTCTCCCATGTGGCTGTCAAACACTAACAGAGTGGGACAGCACCTAGACAAGAGAGGTTTGCACAAACCTGGTGCATCTCAAGGTGCATCATCAGCCAAACAATTGCCTCTGCTGTCGGGCCCCTGAGCTCCCTTTGCACTTGTAGGCTTTAAATTTATGGAATTTTACTGACAAGTTGGAACAAGTTGCCTTCAAACACTATCAAGCCTCATTTCTGTGCCCTGGTGCTGTGGACAACAGTTAAAGTTAACTGGAACAAACCAGAAACACAGCAGCAGTTTAAGGAAATGCACTGAGTTTATGCTGAATTTAATTATGCTCTTCTTTCCCCACTGTGAATTCTGTCTGACTTGCGGTGCTCTATTATTTTATGCATTCAGTTTTGGATGGTTAAATCAAGGTATTCTTTTGTTTAATCAAGAAAAAATTATGAAATATTTTTGCCTCAATTTGAGCCAAAATCTTTTTACTAAAAAAAAGTAATAATTTTGTTCCATTTCTCTACAGTTTTAAAGGTTACCTCAGCATAAACTCATAGCTCAGTCCGTCCTTGGATTAAACTACTACATCTTTTTCTACCTTGTGCAATTTTATGCTGTAGAAACTCTGGTAAATTCAGTGAAATTACCTTTCACTGAAATTATGTACCTTTGGGGAGACACTCTAATATACTCTGTACAAATTTAATTTAAGCATTTCTTGGTTATGGTAAAGACATTTCTTTGGTGAAGACATCTGAATTCTGAACTTGTTGCTGTAGATCTCTTGCCAAAGTCAGAAAAACCAAAAGAGTTGTTTTGTTTTTTTAATGAAGACAAGTGTCTACATTCACTGGTTACACAGACTGAACACAGTCATTTTAGAGACTGATTGAATTAAGCAGCAGTTCAAAACATATGTGGAACAATCCCTAGTGGGGTTTTTTATTTCTTTTTTCTTCAGAACTTTTTAAGGATGGAAAATGACATTTGGACAGTGACACAGATGTACTATGAAAGGAGTATTAAATGCATTGACTGCAACAATAAATGGTTACTATTTTTCCCTTCATGCTTTCTAAAGTTGATGCATATTTAAATGAAATCCTGCTTTGAAGTAGGTAATTCAGAAGCCTTCTGGTAAAATGATTTGAATCTTTCCCAGCATCTGTCCTCTTGCACACAAGGAGGGTACCTGATTTAACTGTTTGAAATTAAAGTAGCCCATGTCAGGGGTATGTGGATCACTTAATGAATTTTGACAGTGCAGATGTCTTCTCTCTGGCTTAGCAATCAGATTCAGAATTTTGTTCGTGAAATAAGAGTTGTGTGTAAAAGCCTTACTTTTTTTCATATCATCTCATCACTCTTAAAATATGTAGTCATTGAACTATTCAAATATAGACTGTGTACTTTTTTAATAGCTTTGAGAATTATTTTGTATGATGATTTTTTTAAATGAATGTGTACTCTAACAAACCTTAAGATTTTACAGGAGTCACATTTTTAAGCAGTGTTTGTATACATTTTAACACTTTTTATATTTTCTATTATGATTTTGTATATTTTTATGTATACACAGTGTACAGATTTTTTCCTGTAAATAAAACATTTGTTTTCATTTGTTTAGGAGTGCTGGTCTTTTCATATTGCCTTAAATGAATGACACTGAAATACAGTGGAACAAAAGAGGGGGTGGTGGTTCCTGTCAGTTCTGCCCATATTTTCAATGAAATCTCAAATGGAAATGGACAGCTAATCTGACAAGGAGGTATCACAGTAAACTACAGAAAAGACGCAAATATTGTAAAGCCAGTTTTATTCTAAAGTGAACATATGTACCTGAGTAGATGTGCTGGGATTCCCTGGGAGAATATATTCACCATACTGCTCAGTCAATTTCTGAGCAGTCAGTTTATGGTGACTGTCAGGCAAGAAGGTGGTGGATTGTCAGGTATAGAGGTCGTGCTCTGATGACTTAGTGATGTACTTGAAATGCTTATAGACTTCAGCTAATTGGCTGTGCTACCCATTCAAGGAATCCAGTGCTGTATTTAAGGGAGAAGAACACTGTTGTGTTTAAGGGAGAAGCTTTTTAATAAATTATTAATTAAAATTAAAAACAACTTACCAAAGGGATAATGTAACTTGCCCTTCAGTCTGTGATAAGTACTGTATAATTCACCACAACAAGCCTGCTTACATCCATTAAATGTGGGGCATACTGCTGCTTTTTGGTAGTTCTTGAACTACACAGGGGCCTGAGTTGGGCCAGTGGAGGTGCTAATCAGTGTTTTCATCCCAGGGACTCATCTTGAGTCCGTGCCAACAAGACAGTTGGTTTCACATTAGTGGAATGATAGCAGTTGGATTCCATCATGTACACTCCTGGCAGACAGTAATCACGCAGCTCATCCTGTGTATTACACCAGCTCCTGACAGGCAGTGTCAGGAGGGGCTAGTTACTGCCATGGTATGCAAGTAACACCTCTCAGAAAATTCACATCAGTGAGGTACTCTGGAGGATAAACTGAATGCTGGGACCTATGCATGAAGCAACTAATTGATACCTTTTAAATCCAGCAACTTTGCTTTTTTATTTTAAAAAACTAGCAAGAAAATATGATCGTTGTGTTCCTGTCTATTAAATGCTCAGTCACCTTCACTGTCTGTGACATCAGAGAGGTTATTCGTGTCTCACTGCATTCAAACTGTACCTCAGTAGGAGGTGTAAATCCATTAACTACACTGTGTGGGGTACAGAGGACATCTTGCTTACACACTATTCTTCAGCAGGGACAGCTAGAGGTGTGACATCACCTTTCTGATAGTATAGAGAGCCTTGGAGGCAACTCATTTTCAGGTTTATTCCCAAAATTGCACTGCCCTTTTTTGAACATGCCTTTGTTGGAGGTGCCTTTTATTGTTTTATTCATAGAAGCCAGCTGTGTTTCACTTGAGTAGTTCTTATGGGCAGGTGAAACTTCATGCAGGCATTTTGGTCTGTATATCTGCATTATTAGCTTGCCTGTTGTGATCTGGCTGAAAGACATATCTCAGGGCTTTTAATTCAGCTTGCTGTCTTGACTGCAGCATGAACTTGTTGAAGTGATTCTCCCCCTCTCCTCTGCTCTGGTGAGACCCCAGCTAGAGTACTGCATCCAGACCTGGGACTTCCAGCAGAAGAAGGACATGAACTTGTTGGAGTAAATCCAGAGGAGGCCCACAAGAAGGTCCTCTCTCATGAGGAAAGGCTGAGATGGTTAGGGTTGTTCAGCCTGGAGGAGGCTCTGGGGAAACCTTATTGTGGCCTTTCAGTATTTAAAGTGGACTTACAAGAGAAATGGGACAGGCTTTTTAGTAGGGCCTGTAGCAATAGGAAAGGGGTAATGGTTTTAATTTAAAATAGTGTCGATTTTGATCAGAAATGAAAAGTGGGAAAGGTTTGGTTCTGGACCTGTTTCTGAGCTTGCTTTTTCAGTAAAAGAGATAGGAGTCTTAGCTGATGCTTCCAACTGGATTAAGCACCATTACTTTTCTCCCCTAGCAATATTCCTCTTTGGAAATGTAGGGTTGTTTTTCACTTATTTCCAGTGCTTGGTTTTATCTATACAAATGAAATTATAAGCTATCTGGTGGGCCTAATTTAGACTTTACAAATGCATGGGGCTGCATGTAGCTGTCAGGACATTAGGCATTTTAATGAGCAGTTGTAACATCCCAAGAAGCAGAGATAAGAAGAAAATGTGTAAGCTGTTACCAAAACAATATTAACAAAGATGTTCCACAGTAGAAGAGCAAGGAAGGCAGAAACAACAGAGCATATAGTCTGAGAATACTGCCTTATTTTCATGGTTATAACATGCTATTCAGATAAGTATTTTAAAATACTCCTTTTAGATAAGTGCCCATGACACAAGTGCTCTCATATAAAGTTAACAAAGTGGGAGATCAAAGCTGAAGGGATCATAAAGTGGGGATAGTTATTTTGTCAGAGGAAACAGGGAAAAACTTTTCTTTGCCCATA